CCGTCCCGCTCAGCCAGTGGCTCGGGCTCCGGAAGTGGGCGGGAGCGCCGTGACGCTACGCCTTACTGCTCATAGCGGCCCGCCCCTCGCCGGGGCGCGCCAAGGCCGCGCGAGGCCCCCTGGGAGTTGTAGTTTGCCCTCCGCAGCCCTCCTCCTTTCCCCGTCCCTCCCAGGATCACGGAGCTGATGGAGAAGTGTGTAGTTTCGCTCCCCACCGCATGACTGACCAGCGTTGGACTTATTAAGTTCTCTTCTTTGGGCACAGTTCGTGGGATGGCTTAGAATGACGGTGGAGAAAAAAGCTATACCATAAAATTTAAAAGGCACTTTCTCCGCGTCAGTGGCTATAGAGCTAGGTGCTGATTGGTGGGCGGGAAGGGGCGTGCCCCGGTTTCCTCTCACCTGATTGGGTGGGGTGGAAAGTCTTTGCTCTCCGCCTCCCGGAAAATTCCATCGCTGGCTGGGCTGCTGTGTCGGGGTTGATCTCCATTCTGCAGGATTCCTGCTTTGGGTGTGCTGCGAGGGGCCTGGGAAGGGAACTGCAGCCCCGCTGGGGAGCTCCAAGTCCCAGGGTTCGCCGGAAGCGGGGAAAGCGGTCGCGTGTACACGCCTGTTGCTACTATCCCAGGAAAAAAAGCGACCGCTTCTCAGTCTTTAGTAGCGAGCAGTGTGCCCACCCTAGATTTTGATGTCACTGAGACTCTTAAAGATCTGTCAGGAGCTAAATTAGGGACACTGCCTGAAACTCCAAAATGCTGGACCGCTTTTCTTCCCAAGCTCTTCTTGACGTAGCTCTCTCCTCTTAGATGGTAGAGAGTGCAGATGAAGAGGCACTGGCTTCTGCTGGGGGAGCGGGCGCGGGGTGGGGCGGTGAAGCGTTTGACCTCTGACCTAATGTGTTCCTTCATTGGTCTCTAGTGATATATTTGCTTCAGACTGACACTAAGAGGGAAGTTAGTCACTACCGAGGGGATATTCTTTTTATTAGATAAGAAATGAAACTATAACTCAGTGGTGTGTCCATTTTAGTCTTGGCTGTAGGGAGAATCAGACTATCTTCCTCGGAGAAAGTCCAGACATGGGGGAAGGGAGGCTCCACCTGTCTGTGGAATATGATATAATGATTAGCGTAAAAAATATTTGAAGCAGATGTTATTAAAGCACGAGACAGTGAGCCACTTATTGCCATTTGGCCATAAGAAAAAAAAAGACACCGCAGTCTAACCATCTAACTCCTAATTCTGAACCGTATAATTTCCTTATGAACCTTCTATGTTGAATTGGTTGATTGTATTCCCCGGGAACTTAATGATTTGACTCATTCTAAAATTATTGATAAAAGTCGACTGGGTAGTAGAAAAATTCTACAAAGAATATTTATTTTAGAGGCATTCACCTTAAACTAATTTTTCTGGTGGCAATAATTAGATAACAGTTCCAATGATCTGTTAATGCCACTCTTAGTATATATCAATTAAATCTTTTTGTGTCTACTTCTCATGGGACTAGGTTATTCAGGATATTACCTATTCAGGGAACAGGTGGTCCTAAGCTGATCTTCAGCAGGTCACAGCTAAGGAAGTCCTATTAGAACACATGCTCCTTTCAAGCCTGTCAAGTTATCAGTGCCTCTTCCGTCCCCCGTCCTTCTCACTCCAAACCCACAAGCCTACCCACTGTTTTTCTACCAACTCCCTGCAATGGTCTTTTGGAATATACAGCAAGTAGATAGAATTTTTCATTTTCTTTTTTTTCTTTCTTTCTTTTTCCTCTTCATTTTTCCTACAGTGAGTTTTTATCGGGACCCCCTTGATAGGGTTGCCACTCACCTAATTATTATTCAATCATTAGCTTTCACTATTTTGATCAATAAATATCCTTTTCTCTTTTTGCTAGCTTCATTGCCATAGTTTCATAGTAAGATTTAATCTTTAGTCCTTTGAGCTTTTTCATTTTCTCTTGGTCACTTCATAATTTCAGTTCTCAACTATACTGTTGACTCCCAGGTCTGTATACCAACCTCTTTTCAAGTAGTTTCTGGACATTTAGATATTCTACGATCACTTCAAATTTTACCTGCATAAAATAGAACTCACCTTCTCCATAAATTTGCTTCTTCACCTAACTATTTGTATTCATTGTTCCTTGTTTTAAAACTTCAGATAGTAACAAAAAGAAAAGTGCTATGGAGCTGACTTTTGAAAAACAGGTAGGCATTTTTCTACATGGTAGTTATAATGGGAAAATTTTTTGTTATAACTCAATAGATAAATATTATAAGAAAACAAGAATTATATAAAATAAATTTAGTGTAGATAAATGCCACCATGCTTAAAAATATATGCCAAAGAATGGTAAGGAAGAGTATAGAAAAAGTGAAACATGCATATAATCTGTAAGGCCCCAGCTAAGTAACCACCATTTCCCACCTCCTAACTATACTACACTCATTCTCAACCAGGGACAATTTTTCCCCCTGCAGAAAAAGTTGGCAACGTCAGGAGACATTTTTGGTTGTCACAACTGAGGAAGTTCTATATCTAGTGGGTAGAGGTCAGGGATGCTATATCTTAAAATACACAAAGCAGCCATCCACACCAAAAAAAAAAAAAATTATTTGGCCCGATAAGTCAAAATTGCCAAGCTCAAGAAATTCTGCTATGACACAATATCCCAATTCAATAAGATCTATAAAGCGCTCATCCCATACGCAGTAACTCATGTGCCTGCAGATCCTTGGGTTACTAGAAGTCATCAAGGACTAATCTGCATGAGGAACATGAGTTCTCACATTCCTAAAAGGTTAACTACACAGAAACTCGGGACAATTCAAGTCCCTGTTCTGATAGTGATCAGATACTCTTTGCTGATTTTAAAAAAGAACAAGCAGATCTCTAAAAACAAGCCTTTCTCCTTTATCTCCTATCTAAATCACATTTAAGAAGCCCCAGAGGAGAATATTTGTCTAATTTTAGTTGGTGGTATTTGGTGAGCAAGCTTTACCTATTTTGAATGATTTGAAGATTATCTGCTCCTTTCGATATTATAAAATGCTGAGATACCACGTGTCTTGAAGAGAAACAGCTAAGGCTCAATGATAGAAGTTTCCAGAATAAACAGCAGATAGGAAAAAAGTTTTCTGGAAATCAGTGAAAGATAGGTCAGGGAATTGAGAAAAGACTAATAGACAGACAAAAGGGACCAAACCAGATGGAAAGAGGGGTGAATGTGGAAATCAGCACTTAAAATGCCAACTACATATAGTTGCAGTCTAAGAGAGCTCTCTTTCTATTTGCCCCCACTCCATTTGCTGCTGCTTCTTTGGGTGTTTGTAGATATGTGTATAGAATGGCACAGATCTGTTTGATTCAGTTACTCCCCATCTGAAGAGAGCCAGATCTACCTTAACAGAGCACTGATAATGCAGCCACTTCCGGAGGTAAAGGTAGAGCCCTGAGGGAGATAAGAAAATAAACAGCTTTTCTGAGACAGCCTGAGAACTCAGTCCCTTGACAGACAGAAGAATCCCTAACTGTGCTGTTGGCTTGTTCTGTTCTGTTTAGACTGCAAATAACGAAAGATTTCTCTTTAAAAACTGTTCTACTCTATAATCCCTGATTTAATCTTCTCTCACTCGTTAACATAGGTCTATTCTGCAGATACTCGAGTTTCATAGGCTACTAATAGAATCAGCTAGAGGAAGGATTCCTCGGGAAGTGGGTGATGGAGAGGGAGAAATCACAGATGGTGTCCAGAGGGTGTGTGGTCATTACTTGAATAGGAAAGCCAAGAGTCTCAGGTTTTCAGGGAAGATGAGTATGGTTTGGGGAGCATAGCACTGAGTTTGAGGTTCTGGTGGGAGTACCTAGCGAGGCTTCACAAATACAAATTTCCAAACAGGGAAAGGAAAGTAGCAACTAATGACAATAAAGATGGGCTTCTAATGGCTGTGCCTTTAGTAGCTCTGGTAAGATGCTCCAGATGAAGTTTATTGAAATGTTACCTTCATCATGTCCTTGCTTTGATGCAAAAATCTCCAATAGATCTTCAGTATTTGCCCAATAAAGTCCCCCTTCCCCGGCCTGGCATTCCGAGCCACCCTGAATTCAACCCAGTTAATAATTCAAGACTTATCCCCTACTATTTTTTTTTTCATGACTCAATTTTTTCAGACCGCAGTGCTTGCTATCTCTTGAAAGGCCCATGTTCTCAGCTCTCATGACGGTCTGTCTCCCCAAACAGTGGATAATTTCTTTTACACAAAGAGGTCATGTGTTGTATACATAAAGGTCCAAGAAATAATTTTTTACTTAGCTATTATTTCCTTTGTCTAATCATACTGCTCATATTGAGTTACGATCTTCGCTATAATTTAAATTCCTAGGAACACGCAAGCATGAGGATGGGAAAGTTATATGTAATTGGCTAGTCTAGTGCCAACTATCTCTTCTACTACAAATTGCCAAATTAGCTTTGTAGCATGAGGTTGCTTGACTTGTGTGTGATTAGATTTTTCTGGGTTTCGGCACTGAGTAACCTGGAGAAATAATGTGTTCACCAAATATTTCCTGAATCTTTCTTGTATGAAAGGCTCTGAAACAAGTACTCACCTCCAGAAAACCCACAGTGTCCCAGAAGTTTTCAGAACCTTC